TGTTAGTGGATAATGGTTACTGGTGGAAGGTGGGTACTCGATCATTGTATGACTGAAACACAATCATGAAAGTTTGTAAGTCTGTAATTGGATCTCACTGTGATTCATTTAAAAATATATATATAAATATTGAGGACAAAATTGTCACTCAGGACAAAAACTGAGTGTTGAATGTAAGTAAAGGGATATACATGATAACCTTTTAGTATGTGTTGCAAACCATAATGCCCAAAAAAAGAGAGACAGGAGAGAGAGAGAGGAGGGAGAGGGAGGGTAGGAGAGAGAGATACAGGCAGAGACAGAGACAGAGAGAAGTGCGTTAGAGGCAGACGTTGGGGAGGGTGCGAAAGAAACTGTGGTGGGGGACATTGGTGGTGGGAAATCTACACTAGTGAAGGGAAGGGTGTTGGAGCACTATCTCACTGAAACCCAATCATGAACAACGTTGTAACTGTATCTCACTGTGATTCAATTAAGAAAAAATTGGATTCAAGTTGTTCAAGTTCTCTGACCGCTTCTACATTGATCTCTTATTAAAGTTGATCCTATGCCCATCCTCATGAATTAATTGCCTACTTACAGTTTCCTCCGTTTTATAGTTTTTTTTTGGGGGGGGAGACACCTGGCTGTGCTCAAGGGTTACTCCTGGCCCTGCACTCAGGAATAACTCCCAGCAGTGCTCAGAGGACCATATGGGATACCCAGGACTGAACCCAGGTTGGATGCATGCTCAGCCATGTGCAAAGCAAACACCCCACCTGCTGTACTGTCCTCTGCTCCTCCACATTCTTAGGTATATCCTAAGAGAAAGACATGCATTGGGTCTATCAAAAGATGTATCCAGGGCCAGAGAGCTAGTACAGCATGTAGGTCACTTACCCTGTACCTGGCTGACTAGCTTAGAGCCCTGGCACCCCAGATGGTTCTCAGAGCTCACCAGTAGTGATCCCTGAGCACTGAGCCTGGAGTAAACCCTGAGCACTGATTACTGAGAAAGAAGGGTATCTAACATGAGCCATGGGGAGAGTTCAAAGGAGGCGGAGAGCATGCTGTGGAGCGGAGAGGCCCTAAGCTTGATCCCAGGCACCTCTTGGGGTAGTGCTGGTGGTCCCCAAGGCTTTAGGGCCCAAACACTCTGACTGTCAGGCCAGCACTGCTGGGAGTGGGCTATTAAAAATGTATGCAATGAAAACATGAAAATGAACACAATGTTCACAAAATTTCTTAAAAGCCCCAACCAAGAAAGCTTCCAAATGTTCATCATGGAAGAGACTATAACTCTGAGGACTGACAAAGCACTGATAATTTAAAACATGGATCTATCTGACAAGCTGGTTAAATGAAAGAAGCAGGATGTAAAATGTTTAATTGCACTTAGATGAAGTACCAAACCAGACAAAATTAAGCTGTGTGGTTGGAAATCAGAACATTCCCCTTGGGGTGGAGGAAACCCTGAAACTTTCTTTCATATTTCCCTGTTCACATTTTCTTTCTTCATCTGGCTGGTGGTTACTTGGGTGTGTCTGACTTGCCAAAAGCAAATGAGGTTCGTATTCTTATAGTACACCTACCTTTTTACTAGATAGACTTTTTGCATGGTTTGGGGAGTCACATCAGGTGATTCTGGCAGTGCTCAGGCAATTGGTACAATCAAACCAAAGGCTTCTGAAGGAAAATTGTCCCACCTAGGTACATTTCAAGCTAATGTGTATTGTGTGTGTGTGTGTGTGTGTGTGTGTGTGTGTGTGGTGGGGGTGGAGGCATTAGTGATGGGCCAGGCAGGTGGTGCCCAGAAAATGTTCCTGGTTCTTTGAACAAGACCACCTGGAGGTGGTCAGGTGACAATATGGTTGTTTTTCTTTTTTTTTTTTTTGCTTTTCAGGTCACACCCGGCAATGCACAGGGGTTACTCCTGGCTCTGCACTCAGGAATTACCCCTGGCGGTGTTCAGGGGACCATATGGGATGCTGGGAATCGAACTTGGGTCGGCTGCGTGAAAGGCAAACGCCCTACCCGCTGTGCTATCGCTCCAGCCTCTTTATTTCTATTTTTAAAAAAACATTTCACAAAAAATGTTTTTGGGCTTTTGGGCCACATCAAGTAATGCTTAGGGGGTAACTCCTGGTGGTGCTTGAAGGACCAAATCCAGATCAGCTATGTAAAAGGTAAGCACCTTAACTTCTGAACTATCTTGACAACCCACCCAAATTTTTATTTAAAATTTATTTAATAATTAATAATTTATTTTATATTTTTTTATTTTAAAAATTTGGGTTTCGGGGTCAGAACCCACAGAGATTAGGGCTTATTCCTATCTCTGCACTCAGGGATTATTCTTTTTTTTTTTTTTTTTTTTTTTTTTTAATTTATTTATTTATTTATTGAATCACTGTGGGAAAGGTTACAAAGCTTTCAGGTTTATGTCTCAGTCATGCAAATATCAAACACATTTCCCTTTACCAATACTTATTTTTACCATGAAGAACCCCAATAAAACCCCACCCCCCACCCCTCCCCGTCCCTGTGAGGCAGATGCATTCTAGTTAACACTCTATCTGCTTTGATTAGATTCATTGTTTCAATAAAAGATTCACCACTATTATTTAGAGTTTACTCCCCCCCCCCCCAAATCAGACATGCTGAAAAAGCATTATGAAGTGATTTGCTTTCTACGGCTGGGTTCAAGAATTAAATGTTGGTTTTGGATTTCTGCTCTTTTACCTATTGACCCTGGAAGTATTTCTACTGAAAGTCAGATAGTTAAGAGATTGGTTTCTGTGTTCTGGAGTTCTGGCCGTGCTGGAGAGCCGCTCGCGGGGGGCAACCGGTGGCCTCGGTAGGGCGTGAAGGGCGGAGCGAAACGCCCCCCTTCCCCTGAGGTTTTAGTCGCCCCCACACTCCCGGCTCATACCTGCTGTCCACAAGGCTCCCATGTGGCCGCCATCTTTCTTTCCAGAGAGGAGAGGGCGAATGGGGCAACACCCTTTCCCCTCCGGCAGACTTGATGGCCTGGATCAATGCATAGTCCATTCACTTTTCTGCTCCAAGCTGCTGGGTTCTGCATTAAGTCCTTGTGCTTCTGGGGCCGTGGCCATGCTGGAGAGCCGCTCGCGGGGGGCAACTGGTGACCTCGGTAGGGCGTGAAGGACGGACCAGAACGCCCCCCTTCCCATGAGGTTTTAGTCGCCCCCACACCCCCGCTCATACCTGCTGTCCACAAGGCTCCCATGTGGCCGCCATCTTTCTTTCCAGAGGGAGGAGGGCGGAAGGGAGCAACACCCTTTCCCCTCTGGGCAGAAATGATTGCCTGGATTAACGCATAGTCCTTTCACTTTTGTGCTCCAAGCTGCTGGGTTCTGCATTAGGTCATTGTGCTTCTGGGGCTGTGGCCGTGCTGGAGAGCCGCTCGTGGGGGCAACTGGTGGCCTTGGTAGGGCATGAAGGGCAGACCGAAACGCCCCCCTTCCCATGAGGTTTTAGTCGCCCCCACACTCCCGGCTCATACCTGCTGTACACAAGGCTCCCATGTGGCCGCCATCAGGGATTATTCTTGACCTGGTAGGCTTGGAGGAAACTCACCGGATTGAACCCAGGTTGGTCACACAAAAGGTGCCTTACCAACTATACTATTACTTTAGTCCTGACAGGCTGAGATTTAGATGAGACAGATATAGAACCAGGGGCCAGAGGCAGAGTACAGTGGGTAGGGCACTTGCCTTGAACGTGGTTGACCCAGGGTGGATCTGCAGCATCCCAGATGGTCATCCCAGCCTGCCAGGAGTGATCCCTGAGTACCAGGAGTAATCTGAGTACTGTTTTCGGGATGTATCCCGCAAACAAAAAAACGGAGATTAGGGAAGCCAAACGTGTTTTCAAGTGCTGTTATGTCTGAAGGGCACTGATAATAGGAGATGGTACCTACACCATAGGTAACACTGGTAATGTTTCACATGAACTTATGTGCCACTCTCTACTCTCAGTGAATGGATATCACTGGATACTATCCTCATAAACTTACATCTTGAAGGGGGAGTCAGTGGAAGGATGTGGTATCTGGTTCAATGGTGAGGTATGGTTACTATTGGAATATATAAAATATGTAAAATATATAAAATGGTATAAGCCAATATACTCAGGTGCTTTGTGGCTTCATTAACATGCCCCCTTTACTTCCACAGGCCCAGTAACTGCAGGCTGGAAAGCGTGCCCTTTATTACTATTTTCTGCTTTCCAGATTTAGGTCTCCCTTGAGTTGGGAGACTAGATCCTCAAGAAAGCAAAGACTTGGTATCTAGAGTTAGAGAGTATCATATCTGGTGGTGGGTCCAACAGATCTTATCTATTTTCTTTATTGTTTGGGGGCCACACCCAGCGATGCTCAGGGGTTACACCTAGCTTTGCAATCAGCGATTACTCCAGGCAGTGCTTGGGGAACTAGAGGGATGTTGGGGATCAAACCTGGGCCAGCCCCATGCAGGGAAGACACCCTACCTGCTTGTATTATTTCTCCTGCCCCTACTTTTCACTTTAAAATTTTTTAGGTGGGTGGTTGGGCCATACCTGGTAGTATTCAGGGCTTATTCCTGGCTGTTGTTAGTTTTCAAACCAGGGTCAGCAGTATGCAAGGCAAGAGACTTAACAACTAAAATATCCCTCTAATACATTTATCTTTTGTGGCTTAGGAGTGAGCATCAAACATGCCAGGCACATGATCCACCACTCGAGCTATCTTCTCAGTCCTAAATTGTTAATTTTCAGTTACTGAATTTTTTGGGGGAGGATACACCCTTATGGTGTGCTGGGGTTGCTCCCAGTGGTGTTTAGGGGTCATTCCTAGTGGTTCTTGGGAAGCCATGCAGTGCCAGGAATCAAACCCAGGCCTCCTCTACGCAAAGCATAGTTCAGTTACTAATTTTTAGAATGACTGTTACGTAACAGTACATAACCAGACCCCCCAAAGAGCTGTGTAACCCCTCTCAACAAAAATCAACACCAGTCAGTTAAACCTTCAGTCTTTTTAATTAGATACTCTGAACGGAAGACAGGGTGAAGTTATTGCTTCTTGAGCCCCACTTGGCAAGAAGTCAGTCTTCAATCTCTGGCAACTGGATCTTGCTGGGGTCGAAGTAGTTGGATTCCATGACTGGGAGGCCATTGGCTTCTCGGTATTTTACAAGCCTCTCAGCTTCCCGGCGGGCCCACTCCTGCATCCTGGAGGTAACAAACAGGGTGATGGCAGGTAAAAGAGAGCCCCAATGGACTCCAATTCCCATCTTAGCTCCCCTTGCCCCAGTGATACAGTGACAGGAGAAGTCTTTTCCCACTTCCATCCTTGCCTCAGCCCTCAGCCCATCCCTCTCTTGGGACAATCTGTGTACCTGTAGTCAGGCAGATAAGCCAGAAATGTGGTGCCAAAGACCAAAACGATGGAGAAGCCAAAGAAGAAGACTACCCGCATGTTCCAGACGTCCACAACTGGGTCCTTGTCGTAGCCATGGGTGTCTGGGTTCTGTGAGAAGAGTTCAATAACAGTTTCCTGCCACTCCACAGTCTTGGGCTAACTCCATCTCAAGCTGGGCTCCAATTCCACCAGGAACCTCTTCCCCACTGCCCCCTTAAATATCTCTTTTAAGCTCCTTCCTACCACAAGGCCGCGTACTTGCTGTTTTCTTTGCCCCAAAAGTTCTTTTCCCAGATTAAGCCACGGCAGGATCTATCTTGGCATTCAAGGTTCTGATTTCATCAATTCCTATAGGCGGCATTTTTTAGCTACCTCATCTATTAAGCTGAACTATCAAAAATAGCCACATTAAAGGTAAAAACAGTGGACTATTAGCAATTTCCAATAGGCCAACATAATATAGTATCCTCCAACTTCCAAGTCACTCTCTGGTCACTTAACATTCTCAACTCATCTTTATAGCACTATTAATTTACCAAATTAGAATTCCCCCATTCATATATTTATTTAAGGCATGGGGGAGGTATTTGGGCCACACCTGGTTGTTCTCAGGGTTGAGTTCTAACTCTGCGCAAGGGACCATATGCAGTGCCAGTAACTGAACGAGGGACAGTCCCATGCAAGGAAACTGCCTTACTCACTGTACTAACTTTCCACCCCATCCTGTTTCACTTTATTATCAATGAAATGTGCCATAATATTTTCTAACACTTTATGTGTTTATGTTCTATGTCTTGTACATCATCGAAGCTCCAAGAGAGCAAGGTCTTTATGTGATTTCCACACTGCTGAAATCCTGGGACCCAAGGCTGCACCTGGCATAGAGCAGGCCCTCCATATATATTTATCGAAGGAATGAATCCACATCTTATATAACCAAGCCCCTCCATCACAGGTTAGGATTGATAGAGCATTTATTATATGGGAGAAATTTTCACATACACAAACTTCCTAAAATAGCCCAGTGAGGTGGAATATGGTGATCAGGATGGGCACTTTCACACTTTCAATGCTGAGTACTAAGGATAAGATCCTGTTCTGAGCATTTGGACGCATGAAGCCGGTGTCCTCCTATTTTTCCTCATTTTATAAAATGAAGCCTGAAGGGTTTAAACAACTTACTCAAGGTCACACAGGTGAGTAACTCTAAGAGCCTGTTTTCCAACTCACACACTCTGATTTCAGAGTCGGTATTATCAACACAGCAGTTGACCTGGGTTGACCTAATACCGGTTCCACCAGACATTCAGTTATGGGAACTCGGACATCTCATGTTTACTATCTCAATGCTTCAAATTTCATTGTCTGTAAATATAAACACACTGACAGTATCTACCTCGAAATTGAGTTGTTTCAAGGAGTTGATGAGCTGGTGTACGTGTTCACACCTAATCTTTAGTACTACCGCTGTTACACCTTAGTGCTTTTCGCACGCTTTGGGGACGACCTACTTTGGGTTTGACATCTATCTGCAAAGCAAGGCAATCTCACTGTGACCCTAAATCCTGGGTATCGGGGAAAGAGATAAAAAGAATTCAGAGAGGCAAAATGCCCAAGACTTCGAGGATAACGCCCGGTGCGCAATTTCCAGCCGCTTAAGAACGTCCTCTACGGCGCACCGTCCGCCGGCCGTTACCCCTCCCTCTCACCTTCTCATAGAGGTTTTCGTCCTCGGGATCCGGATCCTCCTGCCGGCGTATAGTTGGTTCTGGCGCCCGCCTTCCCGCCACAGCAGCCGGGGCAATCACAGCCCGTGAGGAGCCGGATTCCCAACGAACTCGGGCAGCCGGGAATCCTCGCGTCGCCGCTGCAGCCAAAAGGCGGCGAGCGCACAAACCTAACAGCCCGGCCGCCATGACAGACTGTCCTGTAGGATCTTGGGAGGCGGGGACGGAAGTACGACTTTGCGCAACTGCAGTAGGCTCGAGCGAGCACAAGGTCGCTCCGCCCCCGCCGCACTAAAAACGTCCCAGGTCTAGACTTTGTTTTCCTTTGCAACCGGACACCGGAGTCTTTGCAACCATGCACCCCGTCCCTCTGTGACACTCTCCTGCATCAAACGTTTCCAGGATATGGAGTCTGTGTTTTGGTCTGTTTGTTGCCTGGATGAAGAGAAATGCGTGACATTTGGGTGGCTACAAGTCCGGGTTCTGGGAAGAAAGGGGTGGAGCTTTTGTTAGTCTTTCATTTCCCAAGCTTGCTCTGCTTCTAAATCGCGGGCCTCGGCCCGATTGGCCAATAGCTGCACCTTTTCTCGACTTCGGGGCGTTGAGGCCGGGAGCTGGGAGGCGGCATCTGTTTTGCCAATCAGAGCTGGCCAAGGCAAGCCAACGCTAGACAGCGACCAATAGACGGGGCCGACCAGAGCGCGCTCCCTTAGTAGGTGGATGGTGGTCGGATCGCCGGCTCTCTTCTCTTCGTCGCCATTTTGTGCTGGTGACTGCGGTCGGCTGGGAGTAGGCGACAGTGCATTTCCCAGGAGGAGGCACGCGCACTGGGCGCCTCTCCCCTCCCCCACCCCGCTGCCGGTCTGGGTTTTGTGTGGTGGCGCGGATCAGCTCCGCTGAGCTGAGGGAGTAGCAGGAGGCGGCAGCGGGCGGAGGTGATGTCCGGGAGCCCTCCCTTGACAGCCCGGGCCGAGAAGGTGAGCAGCGCCGACGCTGGTCATGGGGGCGGAGGTAAGGGGCCAGGGGTGGGAGGGTGGGGTGCTTGGAGGCGGCGCAAGGACCGACTGCAACCTCTGGCCCCGAGATGGGGCGCGTGGAACCCGGGAGGGGGGTGCTGTGTGCACCGTCTGAGCCCACTGCGGCGGGGGGTGTCCCCTCTTTTTCGCCTTTTGCGAGCACAGAGGCGCGTGCGCAGAGTGCACGCGGGTTGGGGGCAGGGACGACCGGCGAGGAGTGGGTTCCTGGTGGGCGACTGCGTCGAACTTTGTGGCGAGGTGTGTGCGTGGTGGCGCGGGTGGGGGATCTTGACTTTTTCATCAGTAAGGGGCTGTCGACTCGGTCTGACTTTGCGGGGACAATATCCCGCAGTTGCGGGAGGACGGAGGACGTCTATATAGCTGCGCTCAATCCTGTGTCTCTAACATAGTCCTTATCCCCGTGCTGTGTGTGGGGGGGGTCCCCCCCGCCCAGTAAGTCGTCTTGTCACTAGACCGAAAGCGCCTGCTGCGGGAGGAAGAGAATGCGTGGAATGCGGGGAGCCCTGGCTGACGCTTCTTTTGGGGGGGCTTTCCCTCGCCCGGATGATTGGGCAGTCCAGCCATTGCCATGCATTCAGCAAAAGCGTCGGTGTGTGTTTGTCATATCCCTGCATCTAGCGTTGGTGGGGGGTGGGTCCGTGCAGGGATTTGTGTTCGGGTCTCTTGGGTTCAGATCTGACACTTGGATCACTCGCTCTGTGCTGGATTCCCAGATCCTCTGAGGGTTTGTACCTGGCATTCATCCACAAGGGCCCGGGGTGTGAGGCCCTTCAGTCCTGGAGCAGGTAACTCTGGTTTCCTGTCACTCGAGGAGGAAGAGAAAATGTGTGTGTGTTGTGGAGTGGGGGGACGCATGCATGAAGAAGAGGTGTGGTGGCTACTTAGTGTTACTGCCACAGCTTTGCACGATTCCTGTTTGGAGGGCGGGCCTGCAGATTCTTGTGACCCCTGACTGTCTTACTTGGCTCTCAGGACTTCCTTTTTTCTCATGGCATCCCCGAGAGGGAAATGACCGCCTTTGCATCCTAGCAGAAAAGCGCAGCCCTTTGGAACAACCTCTGAAAGGGGCCCCTTTGCCACTGAAAAACTTGGACCAGGATCCCTGGGGAATGAGCCACCAAGGGAGCTGACTACGAATGAGACAGGGCTCAGTGCTGAGCCAGTTGCTTTGAGGGCCAAAGCTGTGTTGTGTTGGCCAGAAGCCCAGGGAGGCGGCAACTATCCAGTTGCCAGGTTAGCCCCTTGCCGCTGTTCCCAATTCCAAACAAGCTGTTCCTGATCTCTCTTGTTGGGGACTGAAATGGTTGGGGGGAGGGGGGGAGGAAGAACCTGGTAGACTGGTAGATGGTGCTTGGGACTCTGGTTGGATACCTCAGTTTCTGACTAGTCAGCCTCCCTCATCCCCTCCCTCTCACTGAGCATACCTCCTCACCTCCAGGCCTCCAGCTCCAGGCTTGATCCTGTTTACCACCATGAGGTGACAGAAAAGATGGTGGTACCCCTCTAATTTCTTCCTGCAATGTCCTCTCTGTCAGCTGACAGCCTCTGCAATTTCTAGGGACTTCCAATCTCACAAGTGTGGGGAAAGGAAGAAACAGGCGAGGGGTGGGGCGCTGCTTTCCTGTTCCCACCCACGGGAACATCAGGAGTTGGGAGACTCCATAGATTAAGCAGAGCAACAGAGAGCTTTGATACTGAGGATTTCTCAAGGAAGCCCTCTCTGTTCCTACCACCCTGACCCGTTTCTTCCTTCCGCTTTCCCCAGAGTTCCCGCAGGAGGCATCACCCAGACTGGCAGATCATGGTGGCAGCAGCGGGGGTGGCTGGGAAGTGAAACGGAGCCAGCGGCTGAGAAGGGGCCCCAGCAGCCCCCGCAGGCCCTACCAGGACATGGAGTATGAAAGACGGTGAGTTATCTGTGCCTCCCCCCCCCCCCTCCACCAAGCACACCAAGGTTTGCCTCTCTGGGCTCTGAGGGAAACAGCCAGAAAGGGACTTGAGGAGGCTTATGGACAGAGCAAGTGGCACAGCAGATTCCAGACCCCCTGGAGTGAGTCAGAAGTCATGCTAACCTCTGAAGAGAGGGTGGTGGATGAGCTGGAAGGTTGCAGCATTCTTACTTGGGGTCTCACAAACGAAACCGCAGTGTTTATGGGTGATGGCAGAACAGTGTCATATTTGATATCTTCAGGTGGAAAGGGAGGATCCCCAATTAATGCCCAGGTTCTCAGTTTGGGTGACCCAGTTTTGTATATGGTGTCATTCACCAAAATACTGACAACTGCTGCAGGAGAAGGGACAGAGGTGGGTGGCAGCAGTGGGTACATGTGGACAAGTTTGGGCTATCGCTTGGGCTCTTAGGGGTAGAAATTTTCAAGGACAAATTTGAGGCAAGCCAGGTTAGGTAGAGGGAGACACTAGGACTAGGATGTGCTGGAGTTGGCGTGCAAGTCGTCTTAGACTGGGACACTTAGCTGCAGTTATTTTTAAATGCAGTTGGAACACCTGGTAAAATATAGGGCTAAAACCTCACCATCCTTATGGATCGTTTGGGTTGATTCTAGAGCAGATTATCTATCCTGACATTTTAAGAATGCAGAGGGAAACTGTCCTGACTCCCAGAAAAGCCTCCGTGAAGAATCTGTAAATTTCTTACAAAGGATTGCTTTCACTGCCATCCTTTTTTAATTTTTTTTTTGCTTTGGGTCATGTCCGGCGATGCACAGGGGTTACTCCTGGCTCATGCACTCAGGAATTATTCCTGGCAGTACTCGGGAGACCATATAGGATGCTGGGAATCGAACTTGGGTTGGCGGCGTGCAAGGCAAATGCCCTGCCTGCTGTGCTATCACTCCAGCCCCTCACTGCCACCCTTTTTTTTTTAATGTGGAATTAGATTGCTTTCTGAAAAGTAAGCCCGAACTCAGGAAGTGGTCACTGTCAAGTGTAGCATTTCTTAAAGGGAAATTAGGGGAGTTATGACCCCCTTGTGAGCCCCAGGAATATTCTAGGAGGGGGGGTCACGATTGAAAATTATGTAAATGGGGTTCATATTATCAGAAGACTATGAGGTCAGCTAGTGTGAAAGGAGCTCTGGAAGTGAAAAAGAGTTACAAAGTAAATGAAGGATGAGAAACTGAGGTGGTTAAACATTCAAAAGAAACATTGTAATGAATCCTATGTCCTTCCTGCAGCCATTGCCTGTGTAACATTTCTTGGGCAAAATAAGGGTCACCAGTGGAGAAAGATTGAGAAGTCCAAGTCTAGTGTTACTCCTAACCTTTAAAAATGTCTTTTGAAAAGCATTCCGTTGTGGATGGTATTCACTGGAAGAGCTCAGTGGTAGTTTGAGTAACAGTACTTGCTTTGGACTTTATTACTCAATAAAGAAGAAAACCTACTGGTTAAAGGTAGGTTCCTCTCTTACTTTTGTGGCCTTTCTGGTGACATAGTGGTTGTTTTTGTTTTTATTCCCAGTTCCCTTAGACAGCTGTTTTATCATGGTTGAGTAGATGTAGCATTGCTTTACATGTCTGTGTTGTCAATTTATACAAGTGGCAATGTTGCTGTCTTCAGTCTGTGTCCCAAATTTCGTATTGCCTGTAGCACTGTAGCACTGTCCTCCCGTTGTTCATCGATTTGCTTGAGCGGGCACCAGTAACGTCTCCATTGTGAGACATGTTACTGTTTTTGGCATATTGAATACGTCACGGGTAGCTTGCCAGGCTTTGCCATGAGGGAAGAATACTCTCCGTAGCTTGCTGGGCTCTCCTAGAAGGGCGGAGGAATTGACCCGGGTCGACCATGTGCAAGGCAAATGCCCTGCCTGCTATGCTATTGCTCCGGCCCTTCCTATTGCCTAGTGCTGCATTTTTAAAATATTGCTATGTGTATATTAGTGTTTTTCTTCTAATTGGTCCCAGGGATACCATGGGGTTTGTGTACTGCTGTTTACCTGATGATCACCCCAAGGATACCTGTTCTTAATTTTGGTGTATATTAAAATTTATTACCTCTTGTCAAAATCTTCATAATCGTTTCCTACCTTTGGATTAAGAAGATTCATTTCACTCTATAGATATCATTGGTTCTTTCATCCTTCTAGATACAGTTTTGGATGTGGTATAAGTTCTGGTTTTATTTTCCTCCATGTAGTGGGCAGTTTTCCCAGTACTACCTCCTAAATTATCCATTC